AGGGGGCATTCACGCGCGGGGCTGCTCGGCTGGCACCGCCGTACGACCGACCGACCGGCCCGTCATTTGTCGCCTGGTCGGGGAGACAAAGTGGTCGGTGGCGCGGGTGCCGCTGCTGCGGAGGCGAGAATGTCGACAGCGAGAGAGAGAGAGGGAGGGAGAGAGAGCGGGAGGGATGGCGACAGCGGCACGGATCTGCTGGCTCGCTCCCGTTTTCATTAAGCTAAACGACCGCGAGATGAGAGTGATTCGGATATAAATGATGACACGTTTTCACTCGGCTGTGTATCCAACCATCCGCGGAGCAGCAGCGCCCCCGCTCTTCCTCTCCCCTCCCCCCCCTTTCCTCTTACACCCCTTTCTCCCCTCCCCCGCTCCTACACGGGCCAGCTTCGGCCCGTGGTGACCGCGTCGGTTCGCGAGCGTACCGTCGCGGTATTTTGGCCGGGGGCCAAGTGCAGTGCGGCTGGTGCACCCTGTGCGTGCACCCCGCACGGTACACCCCTCTTCCCTCTCCCACCCCCACCCTCCCTTCCTCTCTCCTCACCCACCCTCACTCGCCCAACACGATGAGAAAAACAAAAAAACAACAACTTCGCAGTGGTTATATGAGCAGGAAAGCATAAAAAGCAGCAAACGGCGCAACTTCAGACGGGGCGAATTGCGCGTTCTGCTGCGCGGACTTGCGGTGCAGTTTGTTAAATCGTGATTGATTGTGATGGGCCTTCCGTGGAGGTGCGGGGAGAATGGCTGCATTGTGATGCAAAACTACTCCGCCGCGCTGCTTGCTGGCCGGGCCCAGCGGATCTCCTGGAAAAAAATTAAATTGCTGCCTGGAGCGCGGGGCACAAGGGAAATAAACGCTCCTGGAAATATTGCAGGAGGCGGATTCATGCCCCTCCCTTCCCCGCTCCCCTGTGGCCGACCGCGCCGCACATTGGCGCGGTGACCCAGTGGCACAAGTATGCATGTTTCTCACCCTTCCCCTCCTGGAGCCGCCTGACGTGGGGTGGCGTTGTTAGGGGCTGCAGATCGCGTCATCAAGGGCGGGCCGCTGCACTTGCAGGCGCGCTTCCAGGGCCCTGCAGGGAGCGTCCATGCAGGCGGGCGGCCTGCTGGTCTGGTCGGCGGGGCGCGCCGGGGCGGTGCAGAGCGGTGCCTTCCGCCAGGAAGTCGTATAACTTTGGAAGCGCCGCGGAACGGCTGGTCGGTCCCGGAGAGGAAGGCGAGCTGCACTCTCCGCAGCGGCGCGGCGGCGCGCAGGTTCACTGAACCGCGCGCGGGCCGCGGCGACCATCTTCTTTGCTCTCTTGCCTGTCATGCCTCTCTCTCGCTCTCCCTCTGCCCGTCTCTCTCCCACTCTCTTCTCTCTGTGTTCGGTTTGTTGCCACCTTTCCCATTTTGGAACCTCCGCGCCGAGGCGTCAATGTTGTGTGACACGTCGAGGTCACCAAACAAGCGGGTCAGAAAAAGGGAGAAGCGGCTGCCTCCGTTCGAGGAAAACTCGCGAGACGGGAGAAGAGGGAGCTGGCTGGCTGTGTGTGTGTGTGTGTGT